TTCTTGCAAGTAGGTGTATACAAAATTCTCAAATTAATTAATCATCAATTATAGGAAATGACCAAGATTTGACTTCACCACAGAAACTAATTTTATAGACTGAAGAGATAACTAGCTAAAAACTAGTGTGAGCTGCGTCGGTGTTTCTAATGAAACAGTAATGATACAAGGGTAAATCATACACCATGAAAAGATGAAAAAGATTACTGACGTTTCGGACGCTCATCCTTCGTTGGAGTAAAAGAGAAAGAGGTGGTAGAAAGGAGTGTTTATATATTGAGAACAAGACATTGGTTTCATTGGTTTCTTTTGTCTTATTCTATTGTACGTATGTATACACTCCTTTCTACCAACTCTTTCTCTTTTACTCTGACAAAGGACGAGCGTCCGAAACGTCAGTAATCTTTTTCAGTTTTATAAACTCTCTAGTTACATCGAATTTTCAAGGTTAAAATTACACAAACTAGATGGTTGTGAGTTATGCATAATTGGAATTTGATTTCTTACTTCTGCCAGTCAAGATTGTAAAAGATACTGTGATTGATTATTAATTTTAGTGATGTAGGCAAAAAATGCAAATTTTAGCAGGTAGCTTGCAACTGCTGTCAGAGTTCATGTGATGTCCAAAAACTGCTTTAATGACAGAAAAACAAAAACTATATTTTATAGTATCACACGGACTAGTTTTCGATAGTCTCTGTCTCGGCCTGAAATACTTTTAGAAAATATTTTTGATATTAAGTTTAGTAAAAATTACAAAATAATGGTCCCAATATGGTTGATCCAATTTGATTGGTTTATGCACAGGTTGCCCCAGCTCTGTTTTTAGGCAATACACATATTAGGCAATATATGCGTAATAACGTATTTAACAATCGAGGTGATTATCGTGTGACAGTATGAGTTTCTTGACCAATCAGCRYGCGAGATTTTCTATAATCACCTGYGTATTTTTACTAAATCACCATAAAGAACAAATAGTCAGTGGGCTACCTGTGGTTTATGTAGTGATAGTGTAATAGTAGCGGTAGTAGCTGTAAGGGGGTAGCAGTAGCACTAAAAGTGGCATGGTACAGGGGCAATTAGCCAGGATTTTCWCTAGGGAGGTTTGAACTGGTGAATCAAACCAAAAATAAGGTTTGTAGTTTGGCAAACTCACACACACAAAAACTTCTAGCTTAATTAAGAGGTTCGTACTTGTCCTTTTATTATGTGAAGTTTGATAAAATCAAGATGGTCTAATAGCCAATGTGCATGAGCATGAATCTCTAGCTCAAAGCATGATGGGAAACTGAGTACCATTTGAAAMAGAGAATATACAATAAATGATAATGGAAATGATGAACATATTAATCAATTAGATCTTGTATAATTTTTTTTCTTTTTCAGACAATGTGTCATTCCCTAGAGTATCATTTCTTTGTTTAACGATTGAGCATGAGAAGACAAATGAATGTGGATA